TTAATAATTGAACGAACTAGTTATTACTTTTTCTGACAACGATTATGCGGCACAGCAAGGAAGTTAGAAGCAATGGCACCATGTCGACAAACGAGAAGCTCGAAGTGACAGAACTATTTAAAAAACAAGATTCCCGTCGGCAGTAGCTGTAAAAGCAAACTGACAGAAATCGAGAGTCGAGATCTGTAGCACCTTGGATCGAGGATCTCGAGCATGACGCAAGTTTCCTTTTCCATCGATTTTAAACAATTTCTTCTGTTCTGAACCATTAATGCCTGTCGTTATAATTCAAGGTAGTCAGGTTTCAGCCTGGAGCGTTGTTCTTCTCCGAATTTTTGTTTCGCTGCGAAACATTCTTTGGAATTATTCTTACAAAGGCATTCATACAAGTTTCTGGTATTCAATGTACATTTCAGGAATCTTCACTATTGTTTTAAGATAGAAATAATCATGATTTTGGCAACTATTCGTTGAAGAAATACTACACGCACTAGAATGTTAGAATGAAAAAAGAGTTAGAATGAAAAAAGGAAAATTTGAAATGTAGAAAATAATGGCACCTTTAAACAGATCACAAAGAAATGAAATCTCGTAGAGAATTATTTTACGTACTAAATATTATATTGTGCAATAATGTTATAAAGTATATTACAGATGTATATAATGTTTTTGGACATTTTTGGTATATTTTATTCTACGGTTACAAGTAAGATCGATAATAGCAATAGTTTAGATATGAGTTCGATAAATTGGTTGTTTCGCAAATATGTCACCGGGATGAGAAAATATCTACGAAGTATATCGTTTGATCGATTTGCTATACGTGCTATAACAATTACTGAGGAAATCGGAAACAAATAAATTGCGAGCTAATCGAATGCCTGATGGACTTTTTGGCTCTGATGGAAACGATTGCAAATTCACTGGCGATCGACGCTGTATCGAATTGAAATTGCGCAATTTCCTCCTCGATGTAATTCCATTATCGTGACGACATAGGATTTTGAGCAGTTTAGTCAATTGTGGTGATTACACGCTACGAACTGTACTTCTAGAAATGGCGAAACTAGCGGGAAGAACAATAACCAGCGATGAGATCAAGTGTACTGCGCACAAGTTTGAATTTGATTATAAAGTTTCGAACATTTTATATTTGCGAGTACATCGAATAAGTATTTTGATAAATTCGTTCATAAATCAACTTATTATACACGTTAAAATTATTATATGATTTAGTGAAATTGTTATCTTTCATTTTTCACAGAGTTTTGATGCAAATTATCTTTAATTATATGTTCTATATTCTTCATATTCTTTAACGATTACTTAATTTTTTCTAATTTTTAATAAAGTATAATAATTATTCTTATCATTACTTGATTAATAGAACTTTCTACTAGCATTTCGATCATAAAATTAATGATACTTTAACGATAATTCTTTTCATTTATTATCTTGACCTAGAGAAAAGATGGAATATTTGTACATAATATCTCACATAAGTTATTTAGAAGAAAAATTGATCCAACTCTATTTTCTGAAAATTTCAAATTAATGTTTAATGTTTCAAAAAAAGGAAACAACTAATTTTCGTGTGGCTCGTATAATTTTTTACCTTTTAGAATTTGAGTACTACTTTCACAAGTTCCAATATTTCCTAACGTCAAGATAATTGCAATGAAATTCCAATAAGAATATTTTATAAATTATTATCAATGTTTTACTAGATGGAAATAAAATTTTTACCTACCGATTTCTAATAAATTTTCAGCCGATAAAACGAACATCTATTCAACTCTAATTCCACTAAGTCTACGCAACATTTCACGATCGCAAATCAAATTCTTCGTATCAAAATTCACTTGAAATCCTGGATACATTGTACTCGAGTCCATCGATAACAATAAATAAAGTAGATTGAAACATGCACAGAAACCTCGCTATCGGATATTAAAAATTGACTGGGACGAAATTTTTCCGATATACAAATAGCGGACGATTTCTCGCTGTTTGATCGTTCTTACAAAACGGGGGAACATAAAACTCGACAGCGACTGTCGCAGAGGTTTTCATTCGATGCCGGATGATCCTGCTAGAGGACCGTCCGGTTGTTCCGCACGTACGTGTATCTGGGTCAGGGTGCTTTCCAGATATTAGGGGGATGATGCGCAAAATATCCCCACCACGGTGCAACATTGGTACAGCAACTTTTCACTGTGACGCACTAGCTGTGGACCATCTCGAATCACGGCTTGCCTAATTTTCTATTTAAATCACTCGCTAAAGATCACTCCTTTCAATCCACATCCCAACAGTTTCTCCTCTCTTTTTTCCTCTCTCCTTTTTTTGGAAATCTTAATTCAGACGATCGAGCCTTTTAGAAAACTGTTTCACCTTTGGGAGAAACAAACGAGTTGTTTCTATAAATTTATCCATCGCAAGGGGATAGTATAAATAATTATTTTACAAGTTTTCAGTTTTTATCATTATTAATAGATATATGGAACAAATAAATTACTTACAAGAAAATAGTGCTAAATAATTGGTGATGACAATTGTTTAGGTTAAATAGTTAAGTCGTGTATTGTGAAACTTTTACTCATTTTGTAAATGATTCGTCTCGCTCGTGTTATAAATAACTCATTTTGCAATTTTCATATAAAAACATAGTTTTTCAGTAGCTAAAAAGTAAGTTGCAATAGTAGAAGGAAACTGATAAAGATATAACATCGATCGATTTATAGAACAACAGTAGCCGTGCAATAATAGAACCGGAACTATTGTTAAAGTACTATATCATAGTTGTTTGACCTTCTACGAAAATGTCCAACCTTTCAACTTGTCTGTTCGAAAGAAAAAAAAAGTCAATTTCTCGTTTATTGTTAATCTGTTACTTTATATAAAATCTCTGCCAACAAACGCATGGATTTCTAATGAAATCTCTGCTAACGAGTATATATTTTTGTTTCAGGACAAGCTGTTAACGAAGCTGGAAAAGAACGAACCGGAATTAGCGTCCTCTCAGGAAGACGAGGTGAGTGAGCGATTTTCTTCAATTACAACTTAACGTGTTCTTAAATTGTAATAGCAGAGAGTAATTAGTTCGATGTTTAAAAAAAATATTTATTTTCTGGAAATTTCTTTACTTTAATGAACAATTTTATTTCGTGAAAATTCCATTTGTCTTATGTTCAGATATATTTAATATTACAACAGAGTAATCGAATTAATATGTATATGATTGTTATCACTCGTATATAATTGTTATTCAATTTTGTTGAAAATCTATAAACTACTAAACTAATAATTTTCATGACTATAGTAAATTTAGTTTTTTATATAGTTCATATCGCTTAATCAATTTTTGTCCATTAATTTCGAATGTATATATGCATTGTCATTCAGTGTGTACAAAGTTATTTTTTAAACCTAACCCACTATTTTTTACGTAATTGGGTATTTTTTGAAATCTATTTTGTCAACTGTAGCCCATATTACAGTGAAAGGAAAAAGAAAGTTGCAGTGCTCATTAATGCACGGACCTCCCTCTGACCAATCAAGTTTGAAACGATCCTCAATCCTCTCGATAGTTAGCCATAAAAATCGAATATTTCCATTCATTGAAAAGCCATGGAGTGGTAAATTACCACTTAATCCCGGCGTAGAAAGAAAGAGAGGTGGTCCTCGATTTAATTAACACCACGAAAACACTCTCCTCCCAACGTGGACAAGGTCAGCTGCATTTTCTAACGCGCTCCCCTCCGTCTTTCTCTTCGTGATTCCTCGAGGTAACCTCGTTACTTTCTTCCGTGCTGGCGAGGGACGAGGCATAATCAAGCCTAATTCGTCATTTCGTCGGAAGGAGAGCCGATGATTGGCGAGGGAATGAGATTTTCACGGTACACCCGCGAGAAGAGAACGAAGTAAAAAAGAAATCGAGTCCCTTTTTGATGTCGCTGCGAGAAAAACTTCATTGAATCAACGAGATCTCGATGCCTCTTTACGGAGGCTGATTCGTCGAGGATCTGGATTAATTTCAACTTGTTTGAACCTATTGGAAAGTTCTGTCGCGACGCTCTCTCGTGTATTTATCATCTCGTTTGAAGACTTTCATTATAATTGAAACTGTAATTTATTTATTTTTGGCAGTGTTAATTCGATGATATTAAATTTGGTGATTGGATGTTATGCGATTACAAATGCACAGAAAGAGCGTGGATAATTTTGTTATTTATTCGAACTGTCGAATTGGTACAATTTATTTTTGAAAAGTAATATACGACAAACAGATTGATATCAGCAAGTGTCAGGAACAGTTGAGTTCCATTATTATTGAGATTTTGCTTTTAATATACAGAATCAGACAATGCATCTCATATGAAACGTTTAAAATGCTTTGTAAAAGACATGTAATATATTCATCAAAATTCATACGAATGTTTGTTGCAAATGATATTGAATAAAAATTCGTAGTCTGTTTAAATTTTCATGGAACTTTTTAACACGGGAAATATTTCGATGGGAAAGAAAAGAAATCAAAAATTCAACGGAAATATGAAACAAATGGATTATTCATCTCGAAAGTTAATAAAAATTTCAAATCCTCCTCGTCGACGAACGAAAACGACAGAATTTTCCAGTCTCGTAAACTTCCAGCTATCGAACTCAATTTCACTTCGAATAACCCTCGTATCTACGTAAGTCGCAAGGTGAACGAACGTGAACTATTTTGAAGGGAGAAAAAAAGAAAAAAAAAGAAGAAGAAGAATTCACGCGAGAGAAAAAGTTCAGAAAACGCCTGTAGTTTCGTGGCTGGCCTCGATCTTAAAAAACGAAAATCCGCGTTATTTTCAACCTGGCGATGGTTATTTTCAACGACGGTGGAAGGATCGGTTAGCGGGGAGGGAGAGGAAGAGAAGATGGGCAGGTACAGTGACCCAGAAAGAAATTAATACACCAAACGAGCGACGACACACAGAGGGGTTGCAGAAGGGAATTTTCGACGGTCAAATGGACTTCTGTTGCATAGAGAAAGAAAGTGGCCTTTCTGCCTGTTCGAAAGACAGCCGCTGGTCCAGAAAAGTTGCAATTTCCGAGCGAATAGGCCGCTCAATGGGTTGAAAAAGTCGATTAACGAAGCTGACAAAGTGGTTGCCACGATCCTGCGACTCCTGACGTGTTCGTCCACCCTCGAGCAGGCTATTAATATTCCAATTTAATCGACGCTTCATTTAAT